AAACATTTTTTGCTGTTATCTAATTAAAGGTAACTGTAATTTAAAACAAAATCTTTACAAAAAATTTAAGGTAGGTAAGTTTAATAAAAAATATATTTTTCAAAGAAAGATTAAAAGTATTTTTTCTTCCTTGCCTTAAAAATATTTTTAATTCGTTGAATATACCGACTGAACCCAATTTACCGTTTCTGGCCAAAGCAAATACAGATGCCAGTTTTCCACCTTTAAAATCTAATTTAAAAAATTAAAAAATGTAAACAGACTCCAGCTTCCCCCTCGCTTAAAATTCCCATTCTCTTCTTACCCCCACTTCCTGGTAATCTGGCTGTCAAAACAAATTACAATGTTAGAATTCAGAAGAAAGAACATAAAGCAGATTTATTGACTAAATCCAAAAGGAAGACGTGAAAAGGCAGCAAAAAGTAAGATAGACAAACAAATATCTTTTCCACAAACCAGAAAATCCAAACCACAGCTGTTGGATCCAGAACAGAAGTTTCCTTCATTTTTAAGGCCTACTGTAAGCTGAGTTTTCATTTAGACCCATGTCTAGTCAAAAATCCCATTATGACTGGAGTCTATATTACATTTATTTTAATTGAGAAGCCATAAAAATAAAGTAGAAATGGTCTAAGGTAGTTAAAATATGTAATTACACTTGTCGGTGATATATTACAGTTTATAGTACTTCTTTTACATTGTTATATGTTATTGATCAGGGGAATGTAAAAGGCAAATAAAATCTAGCAGTTACTGTTGAAATTAAGCAATTACTGCATTTGGATCTTAAAGCAAAACTGCAGTGTAATATAAAATCATTTTCAGTCATTATATTTAATTAAACTCAAAAAGAAAGGTAAACCAAGCATTCAGTCCCAGGAATTGTATATCTTCAACTTCTGAATGCAAGAACTGTTGAGAGCATTCAGCACATTCTAAGCTCACAGCTAAGCCAATAAACACTTCAAGAAATTTAACTTAAAAAAATAAACAAAACAGGAAGCTAAAATAAGTTACAGTCTGAATACAGATCCTTCAAAATGTACCCATGCACTTAACTTCAACTCCCAGCTTTATTGTATACAGTAGATAAAGTTAAGCATGCGTATGAGTCATTGGAAGATCTGGGTCTAATTTGCTGGCATTCTTCGAGTAAGTGCTGCTCAATAGTACAATGGGCTAATGCTGTAAAGTTTCCAAAATTAGGATCCGTCTAAATACTGTGACGACACAGATATAGAGTGAAACAGTAACAGGCGTCTCCAAAATACTCTAGAGCTCATTTTTAATATGGATGAACTTACTTAGGAAATATTTCATTAAGCCCATAAGGTAATACTAAAAAAATCACTTGCAGTTTTCCTTTACATATTTAAACAAAAATACTCTTCCAGCCCAACAGCAGCGTTATGCCTGTAACAAACGTTGATGCCCATACCTCCCCTCTGGAATAGAAAAAAAAAAAAAACTAATCCATTTCAGATCAGAGGTTTTCAATTGAAAGCAAAAACCTTTAGCCCTTAGATAGCTAATCTTCGCACATACCTCTTCTGCATTAAAACATAGCTCCACTCCAAACATATTGTGCTTGGGAAGGGTGGGAGGGAGAAGGGAATAAGACTATGAGTTTATTACAGAGAAGGAAAGAAACCAAATGGCTTTTTCCATGAACTCTAGATGATCCTTATTTATCTAAGAAAGCGGCAATAAAACCAGAAATTCACAGTGGATTTCTTTTGTGTCTGAGGCTTTATATTTTAAAATTGGTTGAATCCTGCTTCCATTACTATCAAGATTAGTTTCAGAGACGTCTTCAGAGACGTGGCATAGGATCAACACAGTAGAAATGAATACAAATGGAAAGAAAATCTAGCTAATGTATAGATAAAATATTAGCATTTCTCATAACAAGAAATCATCTGGAGCATGATATATCAAGCAATTAACTTCTTGCCACAGAGATCTAGTTATTTCATGGGCAAGTGAGGTCTAAGTGAATATAGGATGAACACACTGACTTCAGCCCAGCAGGCATTTGTTACTGCTAGTCCAAGGACTGATTGTGGCAGATTTTAAAGGAGTCGACATTGCAAAGCTGAATGTAAAGATCTATAAAATCCCCTGTTTAGTTCAATCTTAAAACTGCTTTCCAAGATTTTGAAAACATACCTTGCATTAAATAACTAGTTTGTTACTAGAGGAATAATTGCATGTTTAGTTTTCTCTCTGCATGCTGTCAGATGGTTTCCCTCTTTGCGTTCCTTTCTCATTTAAGTTCATTATTCCTTAGCAGTTTAAATTTAAATAAATCTCTAAATATGAAAGACAGCAGAGCTTCCATTTAGTGGGCATATCTTTAAGAGAAAGAGCAACGATTTAGTAGGGGTTAATAAACAATGTGATATAGTAGACAAACAGGCAAATGTACTTAAGTCACACATGCCCCAAAACTGCAAGTTTAAATACTTGACGAGGTTCCAGGAAAGTCTTGACCCAGAGAAGGGACATAACAAGAAGTTACACTGTAACCCTGACACTGTAACCCAAATGTACTCTTGATGACAGAGAAAACATCTCTTAAGGGACAGGTGTTTCCAGAAGGATCATTATTTCTATTCAAAATGCAAGATGTTTACCCCCTGCAATCCTTTTATATTTTGAAAGTTCTTTGGACAGTAAATCAGAAACTGTAAAAGTTCTTCTGTCAGTTTTTTCCCCAGCTACATAGTGGAATCGGAGAAAAGAAAGAAGCATGCATATTTGTACAGCTGTGGTAGCAGCAATAAGCAAACAAGTTCCTGATACCTGCCACTGTTAGACTTGCATCACCACTTTATGCCTGCTGTTTTGTCATGTGAACAGTTCTAAGATCACACAAAAATGTCAAGAAAAATTTGATTCCATTTAGCTGGAAATTTAAGAGAGATCAAATTTTCATCCATTTTACCTTGCTGCTTCAATTTCTTCATGTTTTCATTCTGCAAAATTAGCAAGAGATTTCCCCTTCCCCCTCCAAAGATCTTCAGTTTGAAGGAAGACTCAAGAGATTCCCAGGTGAAAAGAGCAAATTACCTTTTCTTATGAGGTTTGTGGTCCTCTGATAAGCCTTTATTATTAGCATTTCTATCCACACTTGTATGTAAGCAGCAGCATGCAAGTACTGTTTGATATGTGTGTTTTTTACCCTCTCTACAACTTATATCCAAATCCTCAATCTAAACCAGCTACGTTTGCTCATTTATTCCCAGATACTTTCTACGAGACCTTAAACCAACTCACAGGACAAAAATATAATAATCTTTAAATAACCTATATTTTAAACTTCTGCCTAAACAACTCACTTACTTAATAATTCATTTTTCTAATCTCTTCCCAGAGGACAAGCAGACATTTTGTCTTTGTTTGTAATTACAGCTGAGATCTGTCTAACATAGAACTAGCCAGATAGTCACCTTTACAGGCAAAAACTGAGAGGGCAGTTAAGAAAGAAAAATGTCATCCAAACCTCCCACAGGCAACAATGGAAAGAGTCCTTTCTTCATAAAAGCCAGAATGTATATGAAGAGTTAGGCAGCAAACCTACTAAAGGTCCCAGAAATTTTCTAACAATGTCCCTTTGATGCATACTCTATTCTTTCCATCAGCAAAACATAAGGACTACCAATGGTGCCAACACCGGCATAATTTTCAAAAGGTAGCTGGGGTGCTGATGCACTAACTCTACACAGACTAATGCCAGCCTGTCCCCTGGCGATGCTATACATAAACACTGGAAGGAAAAGAACAATTTGGAAAATAAATGCCTGAGGTAGCATCTTTTAAAAAACATCTTATTAGTGCTTCAGAAATCATTCGAAAAGAAGCCTTAGGCAAACCAAATGTCTTTTATCTAGGAATAAAGGAGGACTTTTCATAGAAACTGTGTAGGTATTTTGAGAGTATTTCCTGTCTCAGCATAACAAAATCTAGTCCAAAAAATACCAGATGAAGTGATTGCTGTTTCTGCTTATAATCTAAAGAGAATATTTTCACAAATCTGCAACATTTCTGGAAAAAACCTTACACCTGATAAATTGCTAGAACTACTTGCAAAACCAAGTGCATGTTGTCTAATAAGTTTGCATGTGCAAAGTGCAATTTATTGTAGACATAGTCCAAAGAGATTCAATGAAAATTTTGTCTGATGAGTACTATTAATACCGAAAATATTTAAAGGCATTTCGTATAACATTTTATAAATATATTTGCCCAGGTTGCTCTATTTCCTTCCATTCTGCTCCCTTTGGGATACTTGAGCAAGGTAAAGGATGTGGAAAGTTAACATAAGATAATGGAAGGTTACAGAAAATATTCCTCCCTTCACATGAGCATAAAGCCAAATCAATCATTGTAACAGTTTTAAGTAATGGTATAACACTTTTATCCACCAAATTTTTTGAATGTAGAAATTAACTTTCTGATGAGAAAATTTAACCAAAAGTCTTGCCTCATCATAATATACAAGTGTGTCCATGGAGTTCAGGATTTTCAAGGCTAAAGGATTACTGTCATATTCTTGAAAAGCTGGCTATTAGAGGTACCGAAAGCTTATAATTTCTCTCTGTTACAAATAAAGAAATAGGCTGAAACCACAGATTTGGATACTTCTTTGGGTTGTCATTTTAAGAGTCTGTTTTGCCTGACCTGAACTCCTTGGAAGAATCCGCTTTTCAGAAGATGGGAACTCTGCATTTCCAAAGAGCTCAGCGCTTTCTAGGTACCTTTAGCTGGAGATTCAAAAACTACAAGTCACTTGAAAAATACAGGCCAGGACCTGTTTGTGGAAGAGTATATCTCCAAAAACTATAAATAGGTATTCAGAGATAATAACGTTGTAGTTATGGCTCTAGTGATTTTAATTTAAGAAATTTTAATATAAAAACAGTGTAACCATGCTGCTTTTTAGTGCTTTGATTTTAACTCTGAATATCATTTACATGATTTCACATTTTAAATTCTAGACGACCCAAGAATCTGCATGACATGCATTCAGAACTACTACATGTAAGTATAGCTCTTCATGCCCATACATTTTTCCAAGGAAAAAGTGCATGCTTTGCTACATAAATCAATATTGTGTTGTCCAATTCCTTTTAACTATTGCCTACCTGACAACAGTGGCTTTGGAAGAAGACTTACTAAATGTTAAATAACTAGCTGAACATCCACCATCAAGGTCTTTCAAAGCTTATGGACTAATGGGACCTTTGTGTATATGAGGAGAGGAATACTGAACAGAAAGTGTATGAAGGTTAAATGCTGCCTGTAGACTTGGAACTAATATGCTTTTAGTGTGCAGTTCTGGCATCTGCTTTTCTGAAGGCACTCTGAAAAATGTGGGGAGGTTGAGTAAAGAATCAAAAATAATACATTAACGGAAAGTTTGTCTTAAACAGAGGGAAAGAAAGGTCTCTGTGAGTTGTCCAAAGAGACAGTTAAGAGATCCATATAACAGTTAGGAAGACAAAAGAAAATTTTGACAAAAAAGGCTGTTCTGTCTAGCTATAAACAATGCCATTGTCTTGTATGTATACGACTGATCTGCTCTTTACAACCACAATGTACTAATTTCTAATTAGGCATGCACTTTTCTGCCTCCGCTTAAAAGATCAAATTTGGTTGTACTTAAGAACCCAGATATTAGCAAGCATGACTTATTAATGCTGAGCAGTTGAATTGCTGGGATATCCACAAATATATTTTCAACGCATCATTAGAGGAATAATTTCTTTTAAGCAGAACAAGAATAGAGCCTTATCATCACCGTACCTAGAGACATAAAAAGAAGAGACTTGATGACCTGAAAGCAAACCCACCAACAGTGTTCTACTTCGTCTTGCAGGTACAAGGATCATTGCTATAAACACTGCCCCAAAAATACCTACCGAGATGAAATTGCCATGAAGTGTATAGAGTGCCCAAGCAACTGTGATAGCTGTGACAAGGATGAGTGTGGCTCATGTAAGGAAGGCTTTTATCTCTTGGGTAAGCAAAGAACCAGGTACAGTATATACACAAAAGGATTTCAAACTTTTTCCTTGGAGAAAAGGCTTAGACTCAACTTCTGAAATTCCTAAATCCCTCCTATAGCAGTTAGTGGATGCTGAGGGCATTTAGCCCATCACAGACTCGGGACCTATGCATTAACATGCAGCGCCATTTGGTTCAAAGGCTCCAAATATTTGACTACGAATTATCACTGTTTCTTCCTGGTTTTGTTTTTAATGCATTTTCTCTCTCTTTGAGCACATAAAGAAAAAGATTCTAATTGATTCAGACTCTGGGAAAGGAGGTTGCTTTAATTCCCTAAAAGACATGGAAACTTTTCAAGTCTGGCAAGTCCAGCATTACTTTGACTTTCAGGTCCACACAAAGTAATGAGCCTTGAACATACTGAGTTCAGTTCAGTTAAAACCACTAAATTTTACATGAAATTCACATAAGACTAAGAATCCCGTAGCTTTATTATGAAGCTATAACTCAGGCAGGTCTAGTTCAGATATGTTGCCAAATCTGCATCACAAGAAATCCTAAAGTTTTCATATTCTTGTGCACTGCCTACTGCATGCGCCAATAGCAGAGTACAAAGCATCATGCTCATAGAAAGCTCTGGGTGACAATGGTGACAACCTGATGCAATCTGGTGGTCTTTTTTTTTTTTTTTATTCAGAATGGATGAAGTAAAAAAAACCTATCAGAGTAATAACTTATAGGGTCTTTGCTGCAGTATGCAAACCCTTGAATCAAATCAGGTTTACCTATGTTTAGCTTTGTATTCAGCACAAACTAGAGATTCATCCAGTGTAGATTGGTATGAAGGCTTTATGAGCTTTATCTAAGCAGCTGAGCTGAATTTAGGATTCACAATAGAAATCTACAGTGTAGATAGCTGCAAAAAGTTTCACAGGTTCTATTATATTGTTTATTTCTCTTAAGCTATTTCTTGCTGGAGACAGAGAGATGCTATCCCCCTGCCTAATCCTGGGAAGCTCTGTACTGGGAGCTCCCCCAGATACGTAAAGCTACTTTTTTGAGAGAGAAAAATCAAACAAATACAACTCGCAGGTGGTACTGCTTCTCAGCCTCAGAATTCCTGGTTGCTTGCTTTTTAATATCCTACCTGCCTTTATGAGAACCATGTAGCTGGAGATACACAAAGAAATTTCAAGATATGTCTTTGGATTTCCAGTAAATTTGCATCATAGGTTAAATTGGTTTTGTAGTTACACAATGGTTAGTACTAGTTAGTAATCCCAGAGTTAGTAGTATTCTCCCTTTACTTTTTTGAGTCTGGTGGGGTTTAATAGCATTTTATCCACCTCCTTGTCATGATGGACACGGGACAGTTGATACAATGATTTCAAGCTCTGTTTCTGTTGCAGGTGGCATATGTGTGAGTGAGTGCGGCGCTGGTTTCTTCAGGGATGACATCTCCAGGGAATGCGAAGCATGCCACAGGAGCTGTGCAACCTGTGTCGGGTACAGCTATGAGAACTGCACCAGATGCAAAAACAGTTTCCAGTTATCTCGTGGTCAGTGCCTGAATCCAAGAAATGTTCCACCCAATGGAAAGTTCTGGAGTGGTAAGTTGCTACGGATCCCTTGATCTTGTTTCTTTCACTAAAGACAGTTAAAAGGTTTAGAAAGAGGATATCAAGAACATGCAGTTTGGTGAAAATGTCTATTCATCTAACTAGACTAAAACAATTTTTTAAATATATCGACTAAAAAAATTGGTTCGTTCACAAAGTGAAACTCATCTCTCTGTAAGTAGCATAACATTTTAATGGAGCTTAAATCCACTTATAGGCTATGTTTTATACCAGCTCTTTGGTTGTTGATTTACTGCATATAAGTGAACATGAGTTGGAGGAAACTAAAAAGAATCAAATAAGTGTGTGTATGTGGAGCATATTTAAAAGCAACCTTCTTCTTTTCCCTTCTCCCTTGACACAGATATACACCAACTGTCTAAGGGACCAAACACACGATGTAGAACTAAATTCTTGAATTCTTATCCTACCTTTGCCATTTTCACAACTAATGACCTTGGAAAAATTGTCAATTCTTTCTTTGTTCCTTCATCTATATTGTGAGGAAAACAATTCTTTCCTATTCCAGAAGAATGATAAAGAAAAGAATTTGGAATGAAAATGCTCTAAAAAGTTAAAGATGCTGAAAAGAATGATTTATATTATTTTAATTATTTTCCTTTATGAAGCATCTGACAATGCATCACAGTATTGTCATAATATTTCCTGTTAAAAAGTATTAAATGAATGGTGCATTGCAGAGTATTAGTTGTTTGCATTACATCAGTTATGTAAAGTACAACTGAATGGGTTATGTTACCACATCAGGCCGTGCTCATGGTGAATTTGCTGCCCAGGCCACAAATTAAAACTCATTTGTTACGAATATGCTTTCCAAGTGAAGCTTGTTTCTGTGAAGAAATCCTGTACGGTCTGTGTTGCATCTCAATAGTTAGTCTTGTTAAGTGGCATTTAAAATGGTACATACCACTGTAGCCTCCAAAGGGTAAAATTTTATCTAGTGTTTCAATCGTATCTTGGCTGCTCGCTATAAACAAAGGGAAAAGTCACTGTGATGTAATCCTCTCATTCTCTTTAGCACTTGTAACACGTTAGTTAGAGTAACACATCCAGTTTTGGGCACAGTGTTTAAAGAAAGAAGTGGCCCAACTGGAGAGAGCAAACCGTGAGGATTACCAGAAGTCTAGAGAAGAAAGATATTTACAAGGAATTACTGAGAGAATTGGGGAGTTTTGTACTAAATGAGATAGCTAAGAGGAACGTGATCACAGAGAAGAAGGGAGAAGATCAGGTCTCTGTATGTGTGGTAAACAGGACAAGAAATAATAGGCTTAAAATGCAGAAAAGATTTGGATTTGGCATTGGAAAAAAAGAGGACTTTCCAATGCAATAATGGAGCAATCATCTGGACTATTTGAGGGGGCTGGGAATTTCCATCTGCAGAAGTCTTTAAGAACACACTAAAAACATCCATCAGGAATGTTTACTGAGTAGAGTAATAGACTAGATCACTTTAGGTCCCTTTCAGCTTTATTTCTCCATGAAATACATATTTTCTTCTGATTTGCATGTATTTGGCTCAAACACATCAAAGAGTGACTATCCTTGGATCTATATGACCTTGCATTAAAATTTAAAATATACCAACAGCTATTTTCAGAAAAAGTACTGCCCATTTTTAATTATTACCTATCTATGGAGAAATATTATACTAAAAAAAGCTGAGCATTTCTTTACTTCAGAAAAAGGTCAGAGAGACCTAAAAAGGAGAGCTATTAACAGAAAAGCAGCCTTCTCTGAACATTTCATTGTGTCTCATCCAGCTGTGTAAGTATTTTTTTCTTTTTGACACACTCTCAGTTAGTGTCACAGAAAGAACACTTCTCTAGTTTGTCTCCCCAGTTGCACAATTCAATCTATTTTTGCCACCACCAAACGAGGTAATTCATCGTCTGCTTTTTTCTTTTAAGCAGGCAGCTGATGCAGGCCTGTACACTTCAGCATTACTGTGCTGTGGACCCTCTTTCTCACTCTGACTTCTATTTTGCTTTCCTTCAGGTAGCTAAAATACTGCTTACTTGGGAGCATTTCAAGCCATAAAATACGTCTCTGTCTCTAAGCTGTACTGGCTTGAGCTGTAGCATCTGCTCCAAATTCACACCATCCTTACTCTATCTGGTGATGCTGGAGCTCAGGTAATCTCACTGAAAGCCGCTCAGCTTCTCTTGGGTAGACCTGCTGCTATTCCCACTAAACGGCAGCAGATTTGACAGGTTACTGCTGAGAAGGTGGAGCTGGTCCCAGTGACATCCTGGGCCTTTTCTCACTAGAGCAGACTTGCAAATAGAAGTACCTATCCCGTAAATATATTAATGAAGTCACCAGCTTTACCAAAGCTCCTCCTTGACTAACGGTATTCATCAACAGTTTACGCATGTTCTTCTTCAGACGCTGTAGGATCATCTGGCTCTCTTAATATCCATTTTTCACTTACTAATTAATTACAAAATCTAACCAGTTGGTATTTGTGGCTAAAATATCACTCATTCACTGGCTTCATCTGTTGATGTGTTCAAGAGGCAGGTATCAGCTGAGTCCAGATTACCAATTGCACCATCCTGGTTTTGTTTTGTTTTGTTTTGTTTTGTTTTGTTTTTAACTTTTGTTCCATGCTGAAGATCCCTTACATAAATGAAAGACTCAGGCAAGGTGGAAACACATTTGTGTAGCTCTAGCAGTACATCACACCAATAGGTTGTTTCCTAGTTAAAGAGCGCCTGATAATGGTTTGGAATACCTGGATGATTAAATTACGTACATACAGACACACACACACACACACACACACACACACACACACACACACACACACACACACATACATACATATTTATATATACACGCATGTATGTGTATGTGTGTGTGTCACAAAATAAGAGTTTCAGAATGTGTTACAGTGACTTTCATCATTGACAACAGCTTTCTGAAAAACACTAAAATTTAGGAAAGGCTGCTGCTATCATTGACTGCTTTGTTCAACCATCTTATACAGTACAACTAGTGCAGCAGTGGAGGAAACCTGCCATGATCCTTGAAACCCACTGCTGGTGGGGATTCTGGTTGGCATAACTGTAGAGAAAAAATCTCCATGGGCCTGGAGCAAGAAGCTCTTTGAAGCTTCTTAAACATTTCTATAACACCTCTTCTTTTCCATTGCTTACTAAAAAGGGGATTGTGGGAAAAAAAGAAAATACTCCTTCTCTCATACATAGGTGCAAAGTCATGGCATTTTTCTAAGCTTATCATTGCTTCTTCTGGACAAATATCCAGATATTTTATCTGGGTTTACTGCATTTTGATTCTTCAGCTTGATAGCTATTTTCTTCTTACCAGTGTGATTTCTTCTTACTAAAATATAGATATCCATCTCAACTGTTGTAAATTTTTGTTTTCATATGGAAGCCTGTTTTGTGCAGCATGAGTACGTTCCGTGCAGCTTGTTGTTCATCCTTCAAGGGATGTTAAAATATGTCCATGTTTGTTCACCAGTTCAGTGTGGGCATGACTGTGGCTGTGATTTGTGTTTTAGCTCTCATCCTCTGTGCCTGTTTATCACTGTATGCTCTTTGCACTGGGTACTCAGTGTGTCCTCAACGCATTTACATCGGTAGCATCACGGCAGAACTGCCTCCCACCTTCAGTGGCTTGATGAGCTATTTTAATTAAATAACATAGGTCAAATAATTACTAGTCCTCCCACTTTGGGGGACTGGGCTGGGTGTGGGGGGCTGAGGACAAAATAAACAACTTCACCCTTGTCATGGAAACGAAGATGAGATCGCACCAAGCTCATCCTCAGCACATTCCCTGCCTCCTGCAGAAAGACAGCACAGCTAGGAAGACAGCCAAAATTTCCAAATCCAGTAGTTTACTTTCACTTTTACCACACTAGACTTATATCTACCCTCTTTCTTTTGAAACTTTGCTAACAAAGAATTGATGTACCAGACCTTGAACTATATTCACAAATAATGAAGCCATTTTTCCTCAGCTCTTCTGGGCACGTGGATTCAATGGGTTTCACTACGGTTTTAGTGACTGAGTTGACCAGTCATGTGGGACACAGTTTTGGGAAGCAGAGGTGATTTTTTTTGTTGGATTCCTAGGCTAACATAAATTAAAGGGCAGCAGAGCCGAACTTGTTACAGATAAACCAACATACAATCTGAATTTCTTCACAGTTTGGGAGACTGATGCATCGAGGCAAGAATTAAAACCTCTTTGAGTGTAGAACACACTTTTAGCCCCATGTTTAAGTTTTACTTCTATTTCTTGCAAAAGAATAAATGATTGACCAGTCCTATGAATTTTCATGAGCACACACTCCAACAATCAGAACATTCTATATAAAAACAACTTTCTAAAATGATATTTATCTAGGGGAAGTACTCTGCTGGCCAAACAGTTCAGTTCATATTGAGGATCATTAATAAGTCATATCAAGGTCTGAAATAATGAAATAGGTCTTGTCTGGTATCCAGGCTTTTAAAAAGACAGGGCAAGCCAAGAAGGAAAAAAAATGGAGACTGAGCTCTGTGTCTGTAGTGTGAAACATCTGTATTTTATCTCATGTACCAGATGATGAAATGACTTTGGAAGCCAGGAGACACACTAGTGTAAGCTTGATTCACCAAGCGAGTACATACGCCCTTTCAACCGGATTAGACATTTTGCAAGTTATGGTCAGGTCTTCATTTTGCCTGTTCACTGTAAATACCACACCCAAAAAATACATTCATTCCTCAGTTACACAGTTTAGAATATCTCACTCTTTTGCACTCTTTTTAAAAGTTTAAGAGGAAAAAAAAAAAAGTTGTGGAAAGAGATCTGTTTCTGTCGCAAAACCAAAATGGAGTATGTGCTTCTTTACATGTAGATAATATATGCTGTAGTAAATTATGCAGCAAAGTAGCAGCTGGTTCTGTTTACTATTACATACCACCCCCAATAATGACAGTAACATCCCACAA